AAAATGGAAAATACAATTTTTGAGTGGTAGAAAATTTGAATCGGACGATAAATGGTCTGCAGAGAAACAGGTTATCGTTGCAAAAACTGTCAAAAAAGAAAGGGACGTCATTAAATGTGATGCGCGTCTTACTTTTTCGGAACTAATAGAGTTACGTGGCAAGGAACTTGAAAACACTGACAATTAATCTAGTTCAAGGTATTTGCGCAATTGTTAGCAAACTAGGTATCGAGTGTTATTCAAACGTTTATATGATGGAGGCTACAAACTGTGTATAAAATTAAAAAGCAGAGTAATTATGAAAAATTTTCTCGACGTTGTTTTGACGTTACAATATTGGTTAACCGTGCTCTGTGGTTGCATAACATGTTGCCTTAAAAATTGGATAACATGAGTTCTCTTTCATCAAATGAAACTTCAAACTTCGTTAAAATAAATGTTTTTATTTACGAAAAATGTGTTGATCTATAATTAATCTTATAATTATAATATGACGATGAGGAACATTATGTCAGTTTTTTTTTATGACCTTCGTATTATACCATGTATGAAAAATTAAGATATTAAAAGAGATTGGTAGTATTCATAGGATTAAAATTACAATCACTTAAGACATTCCTTGTGTTTTATTATCTAAAATTTCAAAAACGCAATAGTTGCCAACGATTAGAAAATGTGAAGAATGGAGATTTTAAAATGGGACAGTATCGTATGATGCATTTAAAATGCCTTTTCCGATTTTACTACTGAGGATTACAAAATGAAAACCATGCATGCATTATCGTATTTAGCATTTGAATAGTGAACCAGTTAACCGAAACATTTGCAGGTGGATAAATTTATAATTTAAAAATTTTACGTATTTATTTTTATCTTACTATAACACGCTTTTATCTTTCGAATCATATTTTAACTCTGCTTATTTAATTATTTTCAAATTTTAAAAAATTACAAAATCTATTATTTGATCTCTTACAAAAAGTAGAGTTGTATTTCTTGCACGTGACATTAAGTGGTGTTAAGTGTCCATTCAGTAAATTGTTAACAGGCCTCCACAAAAATGTTTTTCATAGCTGAAATGACACATTGGCTATAGTGGCATCTACTGAAACTTTATGTATCAAGAACAACAACGCAGAAAAAAGTAAACGCATCGTGATTTTGCATAATTGGACATGTTCATGGAATCAGCATTCCTTTGATTATCATTAGCAAGGGTAGAGTAGGTTATGAACATATTTCTTATAAAATTCCTACGGAAAATTCTGTTAAAGGTACTTAGACACAGATTTGAAGTTCATATTTTCTCAATTTTTCTCTATAATATTACGACATATATATTTTAATAGCATTTCACACAAAAATTAATTAAAAATCTTATTTCATTTAAGAGTTATTAAAATTTTAAATTTTTTGGCGGGTTTGATTGACACATCCTTGCACTGTCACAAATTTTAACTTTATGCTTAATCCTTAGGAAAAGTGGCAATCTTGTTGTGTTTTAATGAAAAATGTTAATACTATAATCCAGAAATTTCAGAGTAGACATGTTCGAAAGCAAAACAAACACACAATTTTTTGTCAGTCCGTGCGGTTTTTGTGAACAGACTTTGGCGATTCAACGCACCCAGTGAATCGTAAACACAAAACAACAACAAAGCTCTTGCCCTGTTTACAAAAACTGTGTACATAACACGAGTGTGCTCGATTTGCTAAACTCTGTACGCAACTCTTAGTTCGGAATGACGATAGTTGAAAAAGAGTTTTGCTTTCTAACATATATATTCTGAATAAAATTATTTTTCTGGATTTACGTTTCAATATTTCTCATTAATACACAACAAGATTGCCACTTTTCCTAAGGATTAAGAATAAAGTTAAAATTTGTGAAAGTGCAAGGATGTGTCAATCAAACCCGCCAAAAAATTTAAAAATTTAATAACTCTTAAATGAAATAAGGTTTTTAATTAATTTTTGTGTGAAATGCTATTAAAATATATATGTCGTAATATTATAGAGAAAAATTGAGAAAATATGAACTTCAAATCTGTGTCTAAGTACCTTTAAGACTGTTGGCTTCCTGTCTTTGTAACTGTTGGGTGATCTTAGATTTGCTCAAAAGGTATTTTGTAAGAGCCAGACGGACAAACTGATATGTTAACGAACATATCAACACATTTTTTTCTGGCTCTTACAGGATTCATATACACTTTCTTTAGATTATCCTCCTGAGACGAGATACATCTTTAAATAACGACGGAGAAAAAAAATACATATATATATATGTAATAAATAATAGTGATTACGTAAAACAAAAACAGCATGTTACTGGCCCCTGTGCTTTTATCCTGCTTAATAACAATTTTTCAAAAAATCTTAAGAAGGCGTGGAAGTAAGGCTTTTGGTCTATGTCTGGGGATTTCCGTGGATTGTTGCCTCCCTCGTGTATAGGGACAATAATGTCTTTTTCTCAGGAGTCTGGGATTTGACCAGTTTTTATGATAGAATTAAAAAGGTGCCGTAATACACAGTTTAAGTTCTAAGCCTCCGTAGACAATATTTTTGTTCTGAATAATGTCTAACCCAGAAGCTTTTCTGTTTTTGAACTCACTTATGATTATGGAAATTTCGTCAATGGTGACATCTCCGCCTGGGAAAAATTTTCAGTCAAAACTTTGGTAGTTGATTTCAGATTGTTGTAAGAATTTTCAATAAATTGGAAGAAGTCAGAGTTAAAGGTTCCGCCATCCTATGGGTTGTGTATACGTTCAAAGTTATGTGCGAAACAGCTGGCTATATCTTTTGGGTTTGCATTTGAGTATGTAACATAATCAAGTTCTATTTCAGGATTTATTCGAGAGCTATGTGGTCTTTGACGTTTGATGAGGTTCCAGAATAATTGCACATCACATTATAAGGCTTCGTCAATGTCCTTAATTAGTCAAATACTTTGGTTTGGAAATCGTCGTGCGCACATTGAAGCTCTTTACGATTTAAAGTACCTTTTGGTGCGCTTGTTGCTAGCGCTAGTCCACATTCCTTAAATATACGCACGCTCAGCTTCACGGTCGTGCATTCTGGGAAAACTAATATAGATAGACCATACGATAACAATTTTGTTGTATCATGTTTTAGCATTAAATAACTGTATTGTGTAGCTTACACTTAAAAGATAACTACATATTTGTAATACTCCAAATTTTACCGGTTTTTCTCTGATGGAAAAGCCCGGGTCATTATCTGATTGTCCTAAACAAAGACAAGGGAGGTTTTTTTTTTACGTCTGTAATGGTTCGGGCTGTGGATATCGGCCTGGACAGCTCAATCGGTAGAGCACCTTACTAGTGATACAGGGGTCCCGGGTTCGATTCCCAGTCCAGCTATGCATTTTCTCTTTTCCTGTTACAGATTTGGTGCCGTTGACCACCCCTGGAATTGCAGGTGAAAGTCCTGCCAGGGAAAATAAGAACTTGGGTTGTGTCTTCGGGGACGAAGACCATTTAAGGAGGGAGGAATGTAATGGTTCGGGCTGTGGATATCGGCCTGGATAGCTAAATCGGTAGAGCACCTGACTAGTGATACAGGGGTCACGGGTTCGATTCCCGGTCCAGTCATATACATTTTCTCCTTTCCTGTTACACGTCTAAGCACCACCAAAGATAGACTCTAATTTCTGACTGGTCAATTCAGCCAATCTTACATTTCCAAGAAACAAGAATTTACACTGAAAATAACGAATGAATCCATTATACGTAAAAAAAAATCATTATGTGTATGGTTTTTAACCTCGCATTTCTTAATTGACAAAGATGACCCAAAGAACCATGCAACTACTTCGCATCTTCACACTCGGAACTCTGGATTTCTTTATACAACAAACACTTTGAGGTAATTTCTAGATTCCTTTTAACTCCCCTGTATTTTCTTTGCTTCATTGCCAAGAAAGTCTTTTCTAAATCCAGCTAAGACAATGCCTCAATCGACATCTTCTCCATATTATATAGAGTTTCACCCTCTCCAGTAAAGGTCATAAATGTTTCGTTGCGTAAAAACTCCAATAAGTTAACCCCCCACCACCACCCGTTTCTTTACCTATGTGTCTATGAAATACACTTCACAAAACAATTATAATTTTATCACTCTCCAGCCGCGATAAAGCTTAAAGAATTCAGCAAAATAAATCACTTGATCACGAATCCTCCTTTCTGTATTTAAAAATTGCTACGGAGCTAGCTCACCTATCTTTTTTAAAAAAGATAATCTTGTAGTTCCTATAGGATTCGTGGCCCATACCACGTTATCGACCTTCACTCATCCAAATGCTGACGTTTTCCGTCATGAAATTGTTTAACTTAAATTGGGGTTCATTCTGGTTTAAGGTTTTTTTTTATATTTAGACACAGGTATAAACTGGAATGCAGCATTGTGTAACATACAGTTGAGATCAGAACAAAAAATATCAATATATCATTATAATTACCACAATCAAATTTCAAAACCAACTTGGGAGGAAGGAAAAATAAAACAAAATCTTCAAACAAACGTCGTGTATTTACTCATTTATTTGTCACTTTGAATGATAGAAAAGACTCATAGAGGGTTCAAATATTGTCTATTTCTATAGATGTATAGGTTTTTTGGGGGGATGCTAAAAGTAAAAGCAAACCGAGACAGAAACTGTTCATCTTGTTTTTTATAATTAGTTTTTTTAAGAGTGCCAATATCTCCAAAACCTACGCGTGCTGGTGACGTTTAACGTACTTTTTACTTCGAGTAGCCTAATGTTAGTGTAAAAAATGTACTGAAAGAAGTTAATTGGAACTTGATAATCCCCCTTCCGAATAAAAAAAATGTCTTTTTTTCGCTAGTCAGGATCTTTTCAGACGCTCGACTGTCTCCGTAAATCTCCCACCAGCAGAGATAGGAGATTTACGGAGACAGCCGAGCGTCTGGTTGAACGAGACCTACTTCAGAAATTATTTATGGCGCAATCGGTGAGCCATATATGTGAGCCACTGGTAGTTTAAGAAACCGAAAGTTGCCACCGAAAGTCGAAGGAAGAACTGATTGCTGGCTTTTGCAACTCAGAAAGGCAAAATCCAAGTAAAAGGTAAGAAAATGTTGATATACAAGTGATGGAATGGAGAGTTTACTCTACTTAAGGAATGACACGACAATAATATTGTGAATGAGGAAGTAGATCTAGTTGACGCCATTTTAGAAACAAGGTGAAGGGTGTGTGAAGCCGTTTTAAAAAATTAAAAAAAAACACAGAAAAGGTAGAAAGAATCTGACAAATTATTGACAAAGTAGAGACTGAGATCTCTCGGCATTGATTCACCTTGCGAACAGATTGGGACCACCCAAAAAGGGTATGATAGCCCGTTTGAGTAATATAATTATTTTTTCTATAACAATTTATTTTGTTTGTATTCTCGCCTCTGATTGGTTAATTTCTAAAAAGGAACACAAATTATTTCTGTATAACCTAGTAGGGACACACCTAGTTAGAATAATCTTACCAGCTCCAGCACAATACCTCGATAAAGGTATATACAGCTTGATAAAGCTTTTTCTTGTCAGTAAATTCACCCAGGCATGTAAAGTACTCAAACAAATCGGCAGAAAAATGTGTCTTGTGAGGAGACTTCATTTTATGATACCAGAGTGTTTAACATGCACGAGAAAGCACACTGGCAAAAAACTCAGGCCCCGGGATCATGAAACAGACTTAGACTTAAGTCAAAATTTCAATTATCCATAAAATCTTTAAAACTTGTTGAAGGAAACTCATAATTTGCATACAACAGCAGACTGATGATATAAAATCAGAAGGCATTTTCATTTTGTGCTGTTTGACCTCTAAAAAATTCAGCATCTAAGGCATTTTTTGACTTAAGCTAAAGATGCTTCATCATTGTTCATGATCCTGGGGCCAGAACTCGACTTTCAGCATGTTCAGTAATTAATTTTTAAGGATTTTTTTTGAATTTTCATTTACTTAAAATACCTTCATCAAGGTATTTAAATACCTTGATAAATGTATATAGCTTTATCAAGCTGTATCTTTATCGGGGTATTGTGCTGGACCTGCTTACTGTGTCTTAATTGGGACAAGCCCTCACCACGTACAGTTAGAATTCCTACCAACACTCATAATGTAGCAAATAATTGCAGAATCGCTTCGAAACGATTTTAAAAGGATACAAACGGATTTGCGCTGAAAATAACTTATAAATTAATTGTAACAAATATTTTGGAGATTTTTATGCCTTTTATCCCAAAAAGTAATGCATAAAAAGACGAAATTTCAACAAATTTTCTCAACGATTTTTCTCACTTCAAATTTACCTGCCATGTTTACATTTAGAACTCTCGGGATTTTTTGTAGAAAATACACGAGTTATTGCCCATGTTTACTTTGCTACATTGTGAATACACGGAACAAATTCTATAGTTTAACCGGGTCGGTAGGACATTTATCATTTTAACGATAGAACATTCTGTTTAGGACACTTCCACTTGACAACCAGCTGATTAGTCTGTATCTATGCAATCCTCTCATTCCAGTCATTGTGATTCATGGGAAATTCAAGATTTAATAAATGTACCTTTAACTTCAGACAGTAATAATTAAAATTATAACATGTAAACAAACAACATTGCTGCTAGGTCTTTGTATCAGTTTTCACCTCCCCTCGCTTCCAATCATTTCTGTTACTACGGTTGTATTATTGAGCGGAAAATTTGAACTCGAATTAAGCAACAAAACTTTACATCCACAGTTGTTTAATGCATGATTTTAAAATTAAATTATAAGGACTGAATGACTCTAATTTTTGGCCAAATTATTCTAGTACAACCTGGTTTGGATCAGTTTGTACTGTTTTATAATGCACAAGTACATTATTAGTCAGGTGCTCTACCACTGAGCTACTCAGGCCCGGGGACCCTACATTACTAGTCAGGTGCTGTACCACTGAACCCGGGGACCCTACATTACTAGTCAGGTGCTCTACCACTGAACCCGGGGACCATACATTACTAGTCAGGTGCTCTACCACTGAACCAGAGGACTGTACATTACTAGTCAGGTGCTCTACCACTGAACCCGGGGACCCTACATTACTAGTCAGGTGCTCTACCACTGAACCCGGGGACCCTATATAACTAGTCAGGTGCTCTACCACTGAACCCGGGGACCCTAAATTACTAGTCAGGTGCTCTACCACTGAACCCGGGGACCCTAAATTACTAGTCAGGTGCTCTACCACTGAACCCGGGGACCCTAAATTACTAGTCAGGTGCTGTACCACTGAACCCGGGGACCCTACATTACTAGTCAGGTGCTCTACCACTGAACCCGAGGACTTTACATTACTAGTCAGGTGCTGTACCACTGAAGCCGGGGACCCTACATTACTAGTCAGGTGCTCTACCACTGAACCCGGGACCGTACATTACTAGTCAGGTGCTCTACCACTGAACGATGAACATCCTGAATTACTAGTCAGGTGCTCTACCACTGAACAATTTCTCCCTACATTACTAGTCAGGTGCTCTACCACTGAACCAAGGGACCCTACATTACTAGACAGGTGCTCTACCACTGAACCCGGGACCGTACATTACTAGTCAGGTGCTCTACCACTAAACAAGGGGACCCTATATAACTAGTCAGGTGCTCTACCACTGAACCCGGGGACCCTAAATTACTAGTCAGGTGCTCTACCACTGAACCCGGGGACCCTAAATTACTAGTCAGGTGCTCTACCACTGAACCCGGGGACCATACATTACTAGTCAGGTGCTCTACCACTGAACCAGAGGACTGTACATTACTAGTCAGGTGCTCTACCACTGAACCCGGGGACCCTACATTACTAGTCAGGTGCTCTACCACTGAACCCGGGGACACTACATTACTAGTCAGGTGCTCTACCACTGAACCCGGGGACCCTAAATTACTAGTCAGGTGCTCTACCACTGAAGCCGGGGACCACTGAAGCCGGGGACCCTACATTACTAGTCAGGTGCTCTACCACTGAACCCGAGGACTGTACATTACTAGTCAGGTGCTGTACCACTGAAGCCGGGGACCCTGTATTACTAGTCAGGTGCTCTACCACTGAACAATGAACCCCTGTATTACTAGTCAGGTGCTCTACCACTGAACGATGAACCTCTGTATTACTAGTCAGGTGCTCTACCACTGAACAATTTCTCCCTGTATTACTAGTCAGGTGCTCTACCACTGAACCAAGGGACCCTACATTACTAGACAGGTGCTCTACCACTGGGCCCGGGACCGTACATTACTAGTCAGGTGCTCTACCACTAAACAAGGGGACCCTATATAACTAGTCAGGTGCTCTACCACTGAACCCGGGGACCCTAAATTACTAGTCAGGTGCTCTACCACTGAACCCGGGGACCCTAAATTACTAGTCAGGTGCTCTACCACTGAACCCGGGGACCCTACATTACTAGTCAGGTGCTCTACCACTGAACCCGGGGACTCTACATTACTAGTCAGGTTCTGTAACCCGGGGACCCTTCATTACTAGTCAGGTGCTGTACCACTGAACTCCGGGACCCTACATTAGTAGACAGGTGCTCTACCACTAAACAAGGGGACCCTACATTACTAGTCAGGTGCTCTACCACTGAACCCGAGGACTGTACATTACTAGTCAGGTGCTGTACCACTGAAGCCGGGGACCCTACATTACTAGTCAGGTGCTCTACCACTGAACCCGGGACCGTACATTACTAGTCAGGTGCTCTACCACTGAACCCGGGGACCGTACATTACTAGTCAGGTGCTCTACCACTGAACCCGGGGACCCTACATTACTAGTCAGGTGCTCTACCACTGAACCCGGGGACTCTACATTACTAGTCAGGTTCTGTAACCCGGGGACCCTTCATTACTAGTCAGGTGCTGTACCACTGAACTCCGGGACCCTACATTACTAGACAGGTGCTCTACCACTAAACAAGGGGACCCTACATTACTAGTCAGGTGCTCTACCACTGAACCCGGGGACTCTACATTACTAGTCAGGTGCTGTACCACTGAAGCCGGGGACCCTTCATTACTAGTCAGGTGCTGTACCACTGAACTCCGGGACCCTACATTACTAGACAGGTGCTCTACCACTAAACAAGGGGACCCTACATTTCTAGTCAGGTGCTGTACCACTGAACCCGAGGACTGTACATTACTAGTCAGGTGCTGTACCACTGAAGCCGGGGACCCTACATTACTAGTCAGGTGCTCTACCACTGAACCCAGGGACCCTGCATTACTAGTCAGGTGCTCTACCACTAAACAAGGGGACCCTACATTACTAGTCAGGTGCTGTACCACTGAACCCGGGGACCGTACATTACTAGTCAGGTGCTGTACCACTGAACCAAGGGACCCTACATTACTAGACAGGTGCTCTACCACTGAACCCGGGACCCTAAATTACTAGTCAGGTGCTCTACCACTAAACAAGGGGACCCTATATAACTAGTCAGGTGCTCTACCACTGAACCCGGGGACCCTACATTACTAGTCAGGTTCTGTAACCCGGGGACCCTTCATTACTAGTCAGGTGCTGTACCACTGAACTCCGGGACCCTACATTACTAGACAGGTGCTCTACCACTAAACAAGGGGACCCTACATTACTAGTCAGGTGCTGTACCACTGAACCCGGGGACCCTATATAACTAGTCAGGTGCTCTACCACTGAACCAAGGGACCCTACATTACTAGTCAGGTGCTCTACCACTGAACCAAGGGACCCTACATTACTAGACAGGTGCTCTACCACTGAACCCGGGACCGTACATTACTAGTCAGGTGCTCTACCACTGAACCCGGGGACCCTACATAACTAGTCAGGTGCTCTACCACTGAACCCGGGGACCCTAAATTACTAGTCAGGTGCTCTACCACTGAACCCGGGGACCCTAAATTACTAGTCAGGTGCTCTACCACTGAACCCGGGGACCATACATTACTAGTCAGGTGCTCTACCACTGAACCCGGGGACCCTACATTACTAGTCAGGTGCTCTACCACTGAACCCGGGGACCCTATATAACTAGTCAGGTGCTCTACCACTGAACCCGGGGACCCTAAATTACTAGTCAGGTGCTCTACCACTGAACCCGGGGACCCTAAATTACTAGTCAGGTGCTCTACCACTGAACCCGAGGACTGTACATTACTAGTCAGGTGCTGTACCACTGAAGCCGGGGACCCTACATTACTAGTCAGGTGCTCTACCACTGAACCCGAGGACTGTACATTACTAGTCAGGTGCTGTACCACTGAAGCCGGGGACCCTACATTACTAGTCAGGTGCTCTACCACTGAACCCGGGACCGTACATTACTAGTCAGGTGCTCTACCACTGAACCCGGGGACCCTGCATTACTAGTCAGGTGCTCTACCACTGAACAATGAACCCCTGTATTACTAGTCAGGTGCTCTACCACTGAACCAAGGGACCCTACATTACTAGACAGGTGCTCTACCACTGGGCCCGGGACCGAACATTACTAGTCAGGTGCTCTACCACTAAACAAGGGGACCCTATATAACTAGTCAGGTGCTCTACCACTGAACCCGGGGACCCTAAATTACTAGTCAGGTGCTCTACCACTGAACCCGGGGACCCTAAATTACTAGTCAGGTGCTCTACCACTGAACCCGGGGACCCTACATTACTAGTCAGGTGCTCTACCACTGAACCCGGGGACTCTACATTACTAGTCAGGTTCTGTAACCCGGGGACCCTTCATTACTAGTCAGGTGCTGTACCACTGAACTCCGGGACCCTACATTACTAGACAGGTGCTCTACCACTAAACAAGGGGACCCTACATTACTAGTCAGGTGCTCTACCACTGAACCCGAGGACTGTACATTACTAGTCAGGTGCTGTACCACTGAAGCCGGGGACCCTACATTACTAGTCAGGTGCTCTACCACTGAACCCGGGACCGTACATTACTAGTCAGGTGCTCTACCACTGAACCCGGGGACCGTACATTACTAGTCAGGTGCTCTACCACTGAACCCGGGGACCCTACATTACTAGTCAGGTGCTCTACCACTGAACCCGGGGACTCTACATTACTAGTCAGGTTCTGTAACCCGGGGACCCTTCATTACTAGTCAGGTGCTGTACCACTGAACTCCGGGACCCTACATTACTAGACAGGTGCTCTACCACTAAACAAGGGGACCCTACATTACTAGTCAGGTGCTCTACCACTGAACCCGGGGACTCTACATTACTAGTCAGGTGCTGTACCACTGAAGCCGGGGACCCTTCATTACTAGTCAGGTGCTGTACCACTGAACTCCGGGACCCTACATTACTAGACAGGTGCTCTACCACTAAACAAGGGGACCCTACATTACTAGTCAGGTGCTGTACCACTGAACCCGAGGACTGTACATTACTAGTCAGGTGCTGTACCACTGAAGCCGGGGACCCTACATTACTAGTCAGGTGCTCTACCACTGAACCCAGGGACCCTGCATTACTAGTCAGGTGCTCTACCACTAAACAAGGGGACCCTACATTACTAGTCAGGTGCTGTACCACTGAACCCGGGGACCGTACATTACTAGTCAGGTGCTGTACCACTGAACCAAGGGACCCTACATTACTAGACAGGTGCTCTACCACTGAACCCGGGACCCTAAATTACTAGTCAGGTGCTCTACCACTAAACAAGGGGACCCTATATAACTAGTCAGGTGCTCTACCACTGAACCCGGGGACCCTACATTACTAGTCAGGTTCTGTAACCCGGGGACCCTTCATTACTAGTCAGGTGCTGTACCACTGAACTCCGGGACCCTACATTACTAGACAGGTGCTCTACCACTAAACAAGGGGACCCTACATTACTAGTCAGGTGCTGTACCACTGAACCCGGGGACCCTATATAACTAGTCAGGTGCTCTACCACTGAACCCGTGGACCCTACATTACTAGTCAGGTGCTCTACCACTGAACCCGTGGACCCTACATTACTAGTCAGGTGCTCTACCACTGAACCCGGGGACCCTAAATTACTAGTCAGGTGCTCTACCACTGAACCCGGGGACCCTACATAACTAGTCAGGTGCTCTACCACTGAACCCGGGGACCCTACATTACTAGTCAGGTGCTGTACCACTGAACCCGGGGACCCTATATAACTAGTCAGGTGCTCTACCACTGAACCCGTGGACCCTACATTACTAGTCAGGTGCTCTACCACTGAGCTACTCAGGCCAATATCCATGATCCGTATAGTCCAAACTGCTACAGTTATATTTGTATAAAATCTGTCAAGTAGAGCTACAATCTCTTCAGAGGCTTCTGATTCTCATCGTACCTTTAGAGAATTGATTTATCTATTACTCTTTGATACCAAAAAGTTTTCACATGCAAAATAAGTTGCAATTATTTTTACAAATTCAAAATGATAGTAATTGTAATCTTGACAGAAAATACCCCCCCCCCCCCTCAAAATTCAAACCATTAAAAACAGACATATATATGATGACCACAGTTAAGGGTTTGTTTACCTTCATGTGCATGTGTAAGCAAAATGAAACACAGTTAAGCAACGTTGTACATGGGGCCTCTTGAGTACCAATGCACAGGTAAATGTACTTTTTATGGTATTGTGCAAAGCCATCTCAAATATAAATCTTTTTTTTATGCAGAGTACTATTAATTTGCTGCATGTCTGTGTAAAAGAAGAACCCACCACCATGCAGGTGACTCAGTTATAGATTATTATCAAAACAATACAGTTAACTGAATGTTATATAGATAATAAAAGAAATGTTTATGTTCATGCTGAAAAGTAGCAATTAAACCCTTGGTTTTTTTTACAGACAAATCACAGAGACAGAACAATTTAACTGCAAAGAGAGGAATATCAGTACACCTTTAGAGAGGGGGACAATTTAGCTGTATACAGAGGATATCAGTGTGGTATATTAAAACATCTTTAAATGACATTTTATTTTGAGGTGTATGCAAAGCCATTACAATTAAAAATCTATTTTCACTTTTTCAATAAAAATGATTTTATATAGATTCCTTATGATTTGCTGCGTGACTGTTTAAAAAAGATGTCTCCATCATGCAGGTTCCATGTTTCACTCACTTTAAGAAAATGCCCAATTTATTTATAATTAATTTCATGTATATATATACGTAAACGTAATATTCACAGAGAAAATAAAAAATATGGGAAAATATGTTTTTAAATTCAAGTACTGTAGCTAAAGAAATGTTTACCTTCCTGCTGAAATGTAATGAAGCCTTTGATTTTCTTTACAGAAATGTCAGAGACAGATTGATTCAACTGTGAGCAAGGGGATATTGGTGTTGAATAAGGTACATTTGTTTTTATTTAATTTCTTATTGGACCACTACAAAGTTCTTGCAGGGTATAGAAATCACATTTTAAGCTCTTTTGACTCAAGTGAACAGAAGGCTCAAGTCAGCTTTTCTGGTCACATTTTCTCCGTCGTCTTTCTAGCTATTCTGTCCGGAAACGTTTCACATTTTCAACTTTTTCTCAAGAACTACAAGGCCAATTTTAACCAAACTTGGTACAAAGCATCCTTGGTTAAAGACGTTTAAATTATACTAATCAAAGACCAATTCCCCTCACAAGGGGAGATAATCAAGAAAAGACAAAAATAGAGTGAGGTCTTCTTCTCAAGAACCACTCGGCCAGAAAAGCTGAATTTTGTGTGATAACATCCTGGGATAGTGCAGATTCGAAATTGTTAAAATCATGACCCTTGATATGTAATCCAAGTTTTACATTGACATATGTAGGCAAAATCTTTAAAGATCTTCTTATCAAGAACCATTGGCTAAAACATCTGAAACTTATATGGAAGCATTCTGGGGTAGTGTATATTCTAAATAATTAAAATCATGACCCCAAGGGATAGGGTGGGGCTGCAATAGGAAATCTCAGTTTTACATTGAAATACATAGGAAAAATCTTCTAAGAACTACTGTGTTAGAAAATCTTATGTGAAAGCATCCTGGAGTAGTGAGATTCTAAATTGTCAAAATCAAGACTCTTTGGGGTGGGATGAGGTCACAATAGGTATTACAATAGGTATTACATGGGGGAGGGGCATCTGGTAAAGAAGAGCAATGGCCAGATGTACTCAGGGGAGCGTTGAGGCCAATGGATCTCTTTTTTGATCAAATTTTGTCCTTTGTCTGTCTTTTTTTTTAAATTTCGATGAACGGTGCTGCCATGGCTACTTAAAATAGAAATTTCTTAGAAATATTTCCAAAATACAATCTTCCTACAATTTTGATCTGATTTGAATATAACTAGGCACGTGAGTAGATTAAAATGTTCATAAATGCATGCACAAAAAAGCAGCCACACATATTTGAAAACTGCAATAGAGTCTGTCAAATAAATATGGTTCTCAAGCCTCAAATGAAAAATAATTTGAAATAATTATAGTCATTTTACATGTGATAATCATGTTTCAAAATCTTTACACCAATTTTCACTCAATGCAATATTCTTTTGGATACCGATCCTGATGTATTTTCATAATATTTAAATATGTGTTTGTGTGGTAACTGAATATCAAAGAACAGTACTACATGTAAGGCAAAAAAATTAATTTTTTGGTTCTCAGGCCCTCCTTCATCTCTTCGCAGGGTGCCTCACTGACCCTTTTTATTGCTAAATCAATAAAATATAAACACCAAATGACCTCCCTCATCATTTTTTGATGTTTTGTTCAATGTAAAAAGCTGCCTCATCATGTTTTGGGAGCAATAAAAAAGAAAAAAAATGCCTCCCTCCCTCTGAGTACCTCATCATATTTCTTAAAAAAAAGCCAGGGAACCAAGTAATTTACTTTGCATGGCCTAAAAGCTCATGAAGATATATACATGCTAAAAAGAGTATAATTTGAGTCTGGTCCATCACTTCAAGTATAAAGCATTCAATAAAAAATTCAAAATTTGTGAGCAGACTTGGCTTGCTCTTAGTATATTATTATGTATTTATATTGTTATCATCATTTTATTATATGTGTTAAACACAAAGTGTACATGTAGGGTGTCATAATGACCTTTTATCTCTTTACAGAATACTTACCTTTGACACAAAGACAATATTGTGATAAACCGTACTTAGATCTCTTACGCCTTTCTGAAAAATCTGATTTAATTATTATTATGCCCCCCCCCCTCCCTTCGAAGAAGGGAGGGCATATTGCTTTGCTGCTGTCCGTCGGTCTGTCGGTCCATATAGTTTCCGTTCATTTTCTTTACAACCGCTGCATATACTGACCTGAAATTTGGTATACAGATTTATCAGGTAAATATCTAGGTCAAGTTCTGTTTGGGGTACGATCACACCATTTTTGACAGAGTTATGCTCCTTGGACTTAGAAAAATTCCATTTATTTGCAGTTTCCATTCATTTTCTTTGCAGAGGTTGCACATATTCAAATGAAATTAAGTATACGGATGTTTCAGCTGAATATCTAGGACAAGTTCTGTTTTGGGTTCGATCACAACCTTTTTGTCAGAGTTATGCCCCTTTGACTTAGAAAAATTCCAATTATTTGCAGTTTCCGTTCATTTTCTTTGCAGAGGTTGCACATAATGAAATAAAATTTAGTATACAGATTTTTCAGCTGAATATCTAAGTCAAGTTTTGTTTTGGGTACGATTGAACCATTTTAGACAGAGTAATGCACTTTTGGACTTAGGAAAAATCCAATTTGGGGGGGGAGGGGGGCAACCTTGTTTTACAAACATCTCTTGTTTACTTCTTTTTGTTGTCAAGATAGTCTTGTAATCAATTCATTGAAAATAAATATTTTTTTTTACAAAGAAAATAATAAACATTTCTCAATGCTTACATAGCTACATGTAGTTAGTCGACAAATATACATGCACATGGCATGATTTTTGGGAGTTTTGATTATCTGTGTTTATCTCTTGAGCTTATTTGTAAATAATTAATTTTAAATTTCTGCAAATAAAAAGTTGAATAATTAGCAACTTTATCAGACATTGAATGAATGGAAACATAAGGATAAAATTTTTAATTATAATTTAAGTCATGCAATGCTGCCATTTTTGTTGAATCGTATCCCTCTTTTTGCATATCATGATATCCAATTCAATCACATTATATGACCCACATACATGTACATCGTCTAATAGAACATCTAACAAAATCTGTTTTCTTTGATCGGAGAATTAACAAAGAAATAATTATTTTTAATCTGAAACATTAAGTTTTGCATATATTTAGTCATGTTAGTTAAAGAATTATCATTTTCCCTTTTTTCTTCAACGTCTATGAAATAATATTGATAATTCTTTGAAATCTTAAATAAGTAATAAGCCGTATTTCGTTTTGAAATATTGATTCCTAAATAATTTGTACTATTTTGAGTGAAAAATCGTGCGTTGGCATTAACAATCGTGTAAGATCGTGTAATGTGTAGAATCGTGAACGTGTAAGATTGTTCGTGTAACAGGTTTAATCGTGCGTTAATCGTGCGGAATCGTTCCTGTAACGTGATCGTTCGTGTAAGTTGTCAACAATAACGTTCCAACCACTGTACTGTATAATTAAGAAATAAAGTCCGCGTTTTCGTGAATGTTGCAGAATAACCTCCGAGGTCGAGAAATGTTGTTTGAAAGATAAAAGCCGAGGCTTTTATATTTCAAACAACATTTCGAGACCGAGGAGGTTATTCTGCATCATTCACGACAACAAGGACATTATTTCTATTCTAACAAAAACAAAAAATACGGCTGATTGTTTCCTCTATAGAAAAACAAATTAGGTCACCATGTCTCGATTACGCTGTTTTATTTAACACCAGAGGTACAATTTGTTTGCTTACCTATGTTAGGAATGCAGACAATCTGAACTTTCGTTACATTGAAAATAGCCTTTTTTTGAATTACAAATTTGTTCGTTATACGAGGGGCATTTGAAAATTAATGAACATTAAATAATTAAAACTATTTAACATCGTTTTTCAGGAAAATTGATTGAAAAAAATAACAATTTAATCAATTTTCTACAAAATATGAATACTTTAATTTTTTTTGATAACGCGAACGCGAGATCTTGACATGTGACGTAAACGACGTCTGCGACACTATAGCACGACATAATGGCAAGTAAAGTTCCTGATCATTTAGAGCAAAGGGCATACTGTAAAGCAAGGGCGCTTCTCGGTTATAACCCAACAGAAATTAAAGCCGATTTGAACAAAGTTTATGGACCTTCTGCTCTATCCTATCCAACTGTTCTGAGATGGGTACGTCGATTTCAAGACGGTCGGCAGACGCTTGCAGATGACCCTCGTAGTGGAAGACCTGCAACTGCCATCACCAAAAATGAAATTGACACTGTGAAACAGATCATTGAAACTGATGCAAGATACACCGTTAATGACATTTCATCTTTCACTGGGATCAATTCGTCAGCAGTGTTTGAAATATTAAAACACAGATTAATGTTGAAAAAAGTGTGTGCTCGATGGGTCCCCCATATTTTGACAAATGAACAGAAGAGGGTACGGGTAGAAATTTGTCGAAAGTTATTAGAAAAATATGAACATTGCGATTTCAGGCGTTTAAATGAAATTGTAACTGGTGACGAAACGTGGATTTTCTTTTTCGAACCAGAAATAAAGCGAAATAATAAAGTTTGGGTGACTGACGTCAAGGACAGGCCACAAATTGCACGTCGTAGCCGCACAGTGCGGAAGGTTATGTACGCTATTTTCTTTGATTCGAAGGGACCCGTCGTACAGATTCCTGTCCCAGAGTCTACCAGTGTCACTGCTAAATTCTACAAAGAAAAGGTGTTAACCAAAGTTGTTTCACATTATAAAGAGACCCGCCCTCGCACTGGAACCCGTGGTATACATTTACTCCATGACAACGCACCAGCCCATAAAGCCTCGATTGTTACCGAATATTTGACAGAGATGAACATTAAAACTTTACCACATCCTCCATACAGCCCTGATCTATCCCCATGTGACTTTTGGCTGAATCCACTCATCAAGGATGCCTTTAGAGGACGACGATTTGAAAGCCGCCAGGCTGTAGGCAGTGCGCTATACCAGTGTCTGAAGGGTATCCCTAAATCGGCCTATAAATCGGCTTTTCAGAAATGGATTCAAAGACTGAAAAAATGTGTAGAAGTTAAAGGAGAATATTTTGAAGGACTGTGATAAGCTGTATCTGTGATATTTTTGTTGAATAAAATACAGCGAATAAATATTCATTACTTTTCAAATACCCCTCGTATGTATTGATCAGTTAAAACGAATATACAATAACAAAATCATGTTCCTGTTTTACTGCTAAAATCACGTTGTTTAATGTGTAGGGAGGTCTGTGGAATAGCCCTGCTTAGCTATAAAAACCGACATTCATCAGCAACTTGATGCAATTTACAATGTTTATTTCTTATAAAGTGAACACATCGATGCGGTCTAAACAAGTATTTCATTCTACAGCCAAACATGCATTTGAATTTTTTTAATTTGATACATGTTTCTGATCTGATAATTTTTTGATGACGTTTTTGATCTATTGGAGAATAATGTCTGGCGGCTTCCTTTCATGTTTTCAATAATCGTGGTAGAATGTGTTATAATGTTAATACAGTATAATCTTTTATTATTTGACAGAAATAATAGAAAATTACACACAGTGAAATTTTGGTTTATTGAATGTGTTTAAACAGTTGTGAGATTTGTAATTCATTTTAATAATATGACAGTATTAAAATGTTAATTCTGATACATATGCGTGATGATACAATGTAAAATATTGTTTTCAGCAGATTTCTGTCCATTAATATAGAGGCCTCCTCATCACCTTGCCTACAGTCGGTAGAACCTAAGGATTCTACATGTGTGTACAGGTAAATGTATTACATGATGCTTATCTATGATTTAAAATGACATAATTGTAATGACCTAAATAATTTAAAAGGAAACAAAATATGATATAAAGGATTGTTTACAAAATATTTTAAAGGAATCTGTAACAGAACTAAACAGTTAGTTTCATGAATTAGAGAGATTCATTACACAGAACATGAAGATGGGCCTATTATTAAGATTGCATGTTGTAATTTACAGAAGAAATCTCCCGGACTGAAAGAAATCAACACAGGATTCTGAAACCACAGGAAAAGACGAGTAGGAAATATACACTGTCAGCGATGTATAAATACGTGTTACAGAAATCTGTCACTGTGTCTGGAGTTAGTGGGTGTAAACACATTACCCACGTGTCTACAGACCGGGTCTGGATCAGTGATAATGAAGGCAATCTTATCTTAACTAACACGAGAGGTGACATTCTAGATAAAGTGACAGATTTAGATCAATTTGGCGGTGGAGTACATACTGTGTCTAGTAATAGTGCTGTGATTTATATAGACAGTGACCGTAACATCATTAAACTGTCTAAAGATAAAGTCAAGATTACACTGATACCATACACATCACCATGGTTACCAAGGTCTGTCTACAGCTCTCCCTCCACTGGACACCTGCTGGTCGGGATACGTAATAATGATACAGATACAGGCCAGGTAAACCGTTACACCAACACAGGAGAACACATACAGACCATACAGCACGACAACACAGGTCAGGGACTGTATAGTGATCCTGACTACATCACGGAGAACCGCAATGGAGATGTTATTGTGTCTGACTTTGTCCGTGGTGTAGTGGTGACAGACAGTAGAGGGAGACATCGCTTCTTCTACAGAGGTACTACATCAGGATCAGGACTACGACCACGTGGAATCTGTACTGACGCGCTGTCACACATCCTGCTGTGTGAAGCTTACACCCACACAATACATATCATTGACCAGGACGGTCTCTATTTGACACAGATAGAGAGAGAACAACACGGGATATACAAACCATACGGCCTGAGTTATGATTGTGATACACAGCTTCTGTGGGTTGGATCATACAACAACACAGTAAACATTTACAGACTTATCAATGAAGGGGATGATCAGACTAGTAAGTTAATTTACTGTATATTAATTAATTGTTTAAACAAAGTAATAAATAAAACAAGGTGAATACTGAATATTAGTGAAGGTCTGGACATCAACATGATCAATTAAGTCTTTGTTGTTTGTATTTTTTTACCATGTTTACTTTTGATTGAGATATTTCAAACAAAATGTTGATTGTATAAAAAATAATAAATAAACAGATTATCAGGTACATTATCCTGATTATGTTGATGTAGAAGTATTTATTTTATGAATAATTAACCAACTGCAATAAAATTTGCCAATATCAGATTGAGTCAGGAATTACATAAAAAGAGAGCTTAACTTGATCAAGTGTAACAATAGGAATACCAATAGAAATTACTTGAGATGTAATAATGCTGTTTCTGTTAGCTCTGAAGTAACGTATAAAAATCCTCCCAATGTGATTTAAAAAAGTTTTTTGTTTATTCAGAGAATGTTTTAGTGAGTTGAGTGAGGTGAAAGAATCAGTGAGTGAATGCTTCATAAAATCCGCAATGATTATATAAATGTACCAGTATACTGTTAATTGAAATGTGGAAATGAAAAAAGGAGGGGGGGGGGGGGTAGTACACTTGTTGATTCCAGTAAGTTCCCAGTATAACAGATGGTAAAGATTTCATATTCAAAACCTTTTCTTAGAACACAAATGATTATCTTATACTTTTATCTACATAAAAGTTAAGGAAAAGGATGATCTTCTATTAAATAACCTTAATATTTAAAACATGATTTAGTTATTTTTGATTATTTAGTCTGGTTGTTTTTTTAAAAAAAGGGGGTAGGGGTATTCTAATTATGATAAGTATATATGACTTTATTATATGATTGAATAATTTCCATCTCTCTGATTGGTTGATATCGAACTATGTTAGAGAAATACTACGTTGTATTGACTTGCACGTGACGTTCCAGTTCAACGGGAACACAAGGATTTATTTCTTCTACATTGATCTAAAAATAGATTGGGAAATTCCAAATTGATACAAATTGTTTTGGAAAGCTTTTTAAACGACTCTGATTGTTTTATTTAATGAAAAAAAAAACAAAAACAAAAGCGAATATATATTTTAGGGTAAAACTGGTGAGAGGGGATGCAGGGACGCCCATCCAACACTTTTACTGAACATGTTTTTTTTAAAAAACTTTTTGGCAGTCAGTTTTCCCCGATAATAAATACTCCTTCCTTTCAAAATCTATCCTATAAATACACTGACATTGTATTTTTTTTAATGGAAACTAAAATTAATTTATAAAAAAATATTTCAAATTGATACGACTGGTAAGGTTATTTCACATTTTTAGTCTGTTTCTGTCTTTTACTTGGCTAGGACTTTATTAAATGCAAGTTAACAAGTAATGAGCTGCATCATTTTATCAGTGGATCATATAATAAAACAGTTATTGCTGCTTTTTGAGGTCAATACGGGCTTGGTGAATATTGTACTCCTCAGATGGCTAAATCATTGTATTGACCTCAAAAAGCAGCAATAATTGTATATTATTATATGATTGAATAATTTCCATCTCTCTGATTGGCTGAGATCCAACTATGTTAGAAAAATATTACGTTGTATTGACCTGCACGTGACGTTCCAGGTCAATACAAGGATTTATTTCCTCTATATTGATCTAAAAATAGATAGGGGAATTCCAAATTGATATATTTCTTTTATGTCTTCTAAAATTGATTTAAAAAAAAAATTCAAATTGATACGCCTGGTAAGAGTTTATTAACGTTTTAATTCTGCTACTTTCTTGTATTTGGCTAGGACTTAATAAAATGCAAACAAGTAATGAGCTGTATCATTTTATCAATTATCAGTGAATCATATAATAAAACAATTATTGCTGTTTTTTTCGGTCAATACAATGATTTAGCCATCTTCGAAGTACAATATTCACCTCGCCCTTCGGGCTCGGTGAATATTGTACTCCTCAGGTGGCTAAATCATTGTATTGACCTCAAAAACCAGCTATAATTGTATATTATTGTTTTCAGGTGCAAGCAATGATGATTTAAATGAGGTTAATATGGATGAGTTGAAGAAGTTTCTGAGGAAGGAGAAGACAACTGTCACCCATGCCAGAGGAATACTTGTTGGATGTGCTGAGGCTGGAAAAACAACGCTACTGAAGAGGTTAAGAGGGCAAAGTCAGAATGTTGGTGAAGTTACAGAGTCCACCAGGGGACTGGAAGTCCATCAACATCTCTTCATTGTTAGAGACAGAATTCTGGAAGGTTAGAATGTAATTCTAATGAATACATAGGGTAGACAGACAGAATTTCAAATTTTGTTGTGCAACATCCTATCCAGCTTATGATTTTTAAAAATATGATTATGTATAAAATATGAAAAATGGAAAATACTTATAAAAAGGGAGATTCCTCTAAAAACATTATTACTCTTTAAATTCAGTTGAAGAGTTATCTTTCCTTTTTCCTTTTATACAATGAATAAAACCAATCAATGGCAAAAAATCTCCTATAAATCAATAATATTCATCTTATCAGGGACCAACCTAGACCCAAAATGTAGGGAGAATTCACTTCTCCCTCAGAGAAATTTAGGGAGAAGTTTTGAAATTTAGGGAGACTTCTTGGCGCGCCTGACGCCCACTGATCATTATAAAACTTTATAAAAATGAAACTATTTCATTGTTTGCAGTGTATAACTTAAAAATACTTTTCAATATTTTTTTCTGTATATATTAAAATTCTAGTAAAGATTATTTAAGAAGGAGAAAAAGAATCTGATTTTTTTCCAATTACAAGGTATATCTAGCAAAAAACAAAAAAAAAAACAACAACAAACAAAACAAATAAAAAAAATAATAAATACTTACAATGTACAAGTTTTTTTTAATTTCTTGCATAATAATTAATATGCACACTTAACTTTTAAATTCTATCTTTTTATTTTAAATTTGAAGCTTCATTGCATAGCATAATTTTGTTATTATCTCTTCATAATTTGTTTTCAATCTTAATTTTTTTTTCCTGAAAAAGTTTTGATGTACTACGTACTGCATGCTGATTGAACTCTGTATATCAGACTGTAATTCAATTGGACCAATTCAACCAAACTTGGCACAAAGTATCCTTGGGGAAAGGGGATCCAAGTTTGTTCAAATGAAGGGCCACACCCTCATTCAAGGGGAGATAATTGGGAAATAATGAATTCATCATATTTATATGGAAGCATGCTCAGGTATGCGGGCGGGGCCAAAATGGCCGATCATAGTTTTACATAGAAATATATAGGAAATTTCTTTAAAAATCTTTTTCTCAAGAATGACAAAGCTATAATTCATCATATTTATATGGAAGCATGTTCAGGTAGTGTACATTCAAGTTTGTTCAAATCATGACCCCTAGGGGTAGGGCGGGGCCAAAATGGCCGACTTAAGTTTTGTATAGAAATGTATAGGAAAGTTCTTTAAAAATATTCTTCTCAAGAATGTCAAAGCCATAATTCATCATATACAAATATGGAAGCATGCTCAGGTAGTGTAGATTCAAGTTTGTTCAAATCATGCCCCCCTCGGGATAGGGTGGGCCAAAATGGCCGACCAAAGTTTTACTTAGAAATATATAAGAGAATTCTTTAAACATTTTCTTCTCAAGAATGACAAAGCCATAATTTACCATATTTATATGGAAGCATGCTCAAGTAGTGTAGATTCAAATTTGTTCAAATCATGACCACTAGGGGTAGGGCGGGGTCAAAATGGCAGACCAAAGTTTTTAAGGATATATATAGGAAAATTTTTTGTTTAAAAATTATTTTGTAAAAAATAGCAAATCCATGACTGGTCATGGGACTACTTTTGGATTTAAACTTTACAATAAAAAGCCATTTTCTACTTTTTCCCACACTTAGTGCTCATGTGAGCGATGTGGCCCATGGGCCTCTTGTTGTTTATTTTTATGATTATCAGAATAAATCTGCAAATGCCCATATACCAAGTAATATGTTATACAAATAGTATCAAGTGGATTCAAAGATTTTTACAAAGGAATTCATATGCATGCAGAAAAATTGGAAGAACAAAAAAAAAAACAAACAAACAAAAAAAAACATGATTTTAAAGGAGTATAAATACATTGTACATCTAGCCAGGTTATTAGAAATCTTAAAAACAAATAATAGAAACAATACACAAAATCAGTCCTTTTTTAGAATCGTCCTTAGATAGTGGTTGATTAAGGAAGGGCCATACTTTTATTGACCTGGTTTTAATTTAACACACCAATATGAAATTCTTATTTTTACTTGTCCATTGAAATAAAATCTTTTTGGCTGATTCAAAATGATTAAGCAAGAATATATTTGTTTATTATAGCCTTATTGTACATACAAAGCATTAATATACATTATTTATTGAAATTAACACTGCACTACATGTATGTCCATAGAACCTATATGTCATCTGGTACACAGGCACAAAACTCTTTTTTGCTTTTATGGACCTAAAGCTTTTTTGCTCACCTGAGCAGAAGGTGCAAGTGAGCTTTTCTGATCAAAATTTGTCGTTGTTGTTGTTGTTGTCGGCGTTGTCAATGTAAACTTTTCACGTTTTCATCTTCTTAAGAACACTGGGCCAATTTCAACCAAACTTGCTACAAAGTATCCTGGGGTGAAGGGGATTCAAGTTTTTTCAAATGAAGGGCCACGCCCTTTTCCAATGGGAGATAATCATGAATTAGAGAAAAATAATGGCATTATTAAAAAAATCTTCTTCTCAAGAACCACTGGGCCAGGAAAGATGAAACTCGTGTGGAATCATCTTCAGGTAGTGTAGGTTCAAGTTTTTTCAAACCATGACCCCTAGGGGTAGGGTGGGGCCAAAATGGCCGATCAAAATTTACATGGGAAATATAGGAAAAATCTTTAAAAATCTTCTTCTCAAGAATCACTCGGCCAGGAAATCATCCTCAGATAGTGTAGATTCAAGTTTGTTCAAATCATGACCCCCGGGGTGGGGCCAAAATGGCCGATCAAAGTTTTACATAGGAATATATAGGAAAATCTTTAAAAATCTTCTCAAGAACCACTGGGCCTGGAAAGGTGAAACTCATGTGGAATCATCCTTAGATAGTGTAGATTCAAGTTTTTTCAAATCAAGACACCCTGGAGAGTTGAAGTTCAAGCACCCTTCCCCCCCAACCCCCAGTAAACTTTCAGTTCTGATCTGATAAGTGCTTTTTCCTAGCCATTTGCTCAGGTGAGCAATGTGACCCCTGGGCCTCTTGTTAGAGGCATGTGCTCTGGGACATGTTGTAAGAGAATTGACCTGCAAAGATATGTCTTTTATGGGTGTTTTACTTAGTTTAAGACTTATTTAAGGTATTTAAATAAAAAAAATTATCAGTTTGACAGAAAATTCTAAAAGTACCGACCCACCTTAAATCATACCCCAGCCCCCATGGGGCTCATATTTTCCTAATTAAAAAAAATGTTGAAATTAAATGTGTTTACAAACGGGAAATTATTTTTTTTATTTAACAGTTGCTGATGATGACTCAACATTAAGGACATTCATAAGAATACACTCTGCAGATCTGAAACCAGACACGAGCAGTGCAGTTGATAGTTCTGATTCAAATGATAATAAAGACAATTTGGAACAGAAAAATATAGATAAAGGCACGGAAGTAATTTATAGCCGAGAAGAAAAGGAAGAAGAGAATGTAGAAATACAAAGTGTGCCAAATGAAGACTCAGAAGAAGAAAGCACAGTAGAGAAAACGGCGGCTGTTCTCTCTTCAGCAAGGGTAAAAGATGAAATTTTTCAAAATATTTTGTCTGAAAAAGAAAAATTACCAACTGTCAGCATGCTGGATTTTGCTGGTCAGTTAGCCTATTATGCCTGTCACCAAATTTATGTAACACCAAAGGCCTTCTTTATCCTTGTGTTGGACATGACAAAGAAGTTTGAGGATGTTGTTGATAGGGAGAAAGATAATCAAGAAGGATCAATCTTCTCAGTGTGGACTTACAAAGGTAAAAGTTGTTTAAACAATCATAGACTTCACAAAGTTCTATCGGGTAGACTCTTTGCAAGACAAAAAAAAAATAATTCTCGTACATACGAGGGGCATTTCAAAAGTTCTGGCAACTGTTTAATAAAAGATTAACCGTTTTACGGAAATTATTGAGTTTGATATCATTGAAAAGATCAGAAAAATATACACATATTGTGACATCACTTTATGATTTTTATGACGTAATAACTCCGAAAATGACGTCACAATAGAGAATGTTAAGCATACTGAAAAGTTGCGTTTTTATCCACACGAGACGATCGTATAAGTTCGGTCAAAGGCTTATTTGAAAAATATTTCAAAGAAAATTTTAATTCAAAGAAGTAGAGTAGGACTATATGATATTGTATATCAGCAATTCCAGTATTCATTGTATGGTTTGTTTTCGAGCACGGTTTATGTGCGGTTTTGCTATCTTAGACATTTATTTAAGATTTTTATTTATATGAGATGGTTGAGTTTTTGGTCTTTTATTTAGCTCTCCATTGTTTGAAATAAAACATGTTCTGTATTTAACTTAAGTATATTAATGTAGTTTTCATCAAATATAGTTAGAGTAACAGGACTCTTGCAGTTTACGAATAAACTAGCTGTACTAAATCATGTCCCCGACTGGATTCTGTGGGTATTTTTTCATATAAATTTAACTTCGGCGCCTAAAAACTCACTACTGCTTTTGACTTTTGAATCCAAAAAATGAATATAAGTTACCCAGACATGTTAAGTCTCATTTATTTTAATCTGCGAGTATGTGAAGGTATTGTGCCGTGGGGTTACAACTGCGCCGCCGCCTTTTTGGATTTTACGAGATATATTGGGCACACTAAACTTAACTTCTCTTGAGCTTTCATCGATCTCACAAATCTGGTTAAAAAACCTGACGAATTTATACCATCTTAATTTGTAACACTATCGCCTATTTTTCTTTGATTGTCAACTTTGTCTTCTTCTCACATTTAGGTCTCTTTTACGCAAAAGTTTGAGCTAGATTCGATAAAACCATGCTAATTTTGACACTCGCTAAAACCATTTCAGAACAAGAAGATCTTCACAATAAAATACCATACGATAAGTTGTAGTATATGTAAACATTCCACCAACTGGCGTTTGCGTCAGTTAACTTGCGTCCGAGTAATGAGCAAAAGTTGTCGTGAAAATTTTAATTTGATCAAATGCGTCTTTTGTTATGTCATTTTTATTGTCAGTATGCTAAACAATCTATATTCTGGCGTCATTTTTGGAGATATTACGTCATAAAAATTATAAAGTGACGTCACAATATGTGCTGCTCTTTCCAATGATACCAAACTCAATAATTTCCGTGAAATGGTTAATTTTTTATTAAACAGTTCTCAGGACTTTTGAAATGCCCCTCGTATCTTGAGGCAGTTGGAAATTAGTGATCCATTAAACAAAGGTTCAACTACATTGGTTAGCTATGCATAATGAATTTTCTATTGAAATATACACTTTTAATCTCACCTGAACCGAAGGCTCCAGTGAGCTTTTTTGATCAATTTTTGTCTGTTGTATGTCTGTCTGTCTATTTTTAGTTCACATGAACAGAAGGCTCAAGTGAGCTTTTTATGATCACATTTTGTCTGTAGTCCGTCTGTCTGACTGTCTCGCTGTCTGTCCGTCCGTCTGTAAACTTTTCACATTTTCAACTTCTTCTCAAGAACCACTGGGCCAATTTTAACCAAACTTGGTACAAAACATCCTTGGGTAAAGGAAATTTGAAATTATTAAAATGAAGGGCTGGGTCCTCTTCCAATGGGATATTATTAAGAAAAAACAAAACTAAGGTGGGTTCTTGAAAAATAATCTTCTTCTCAAGAACCACTGTGCAGAAAAGCAGAAACTTATGTGGAAACATTCTGGGATAGTGTAGATCTAAATCGTAAAAATCATGACCCCCAGGAGTAGGGCGGGACCACAATAGGGAATCAAAGTTTTACATAGAAATATATAAGATTTTTTAAAAATTCTTCTAAAGAACCACTGGGCCAGAAAAGCTAAAACGTATGTGAAAGGATCCTAGGGTTAGTGTAGATTCTAAATTGTACAAATTCTGACCCCCAGGGTTGGGTGGGACGACAGTAATGAATCAAAGGTTTACATTGAAATATATACAAAATTTCTCTAAAAATCCTTTTGTCAATAACAACTGGGCCAGCAATGCTAAATCTTATGTGAAAGCATTCAAGGATAGTGTAGATTCTAAATTATTCAATTCATGACCCCCGAGGTAGGATGGGACCATATTAATTCGGAATCATAATAAGTCATTACAAGGGAAATATCTGGAAAAAAAAAACAAACACCATGGTCAGAGCTACTCAGGTGCGCGATGAGGCCCATGGGCCTCTTGTTGGTTAAACTGGCTAATTTAACTTCTTTTTAAATAAATCTGATTTTTTTACTGTTGTATTAAAATAAGCTATGAGAACATTGCACTTCTTTAAAAGAAAAACATTATACTTACTACCAGAACACAGTTTACTGAAAATTTATTCATTTTTTATGCATAGGTAAAAATTAATTATTTTGTTTTGACAGTTATTATCACATTATAAGATAAGTAATTCAAGTACACAACTACAATTTATTAACTAGAAAGAATGTAAAATATCAATATACAATGTACTAATGTATTTTGTCTTTTGTCATTCAATACACAGTCTAAGCATTAAGTCTGAACTCCTGTCATTTAAGTACTCAACAGTAGAGCTCCAGACTTATCAGAGACTGCTGGTTTTCTTTCCTTCAAACCTCAACAGAAAAATGTGTTCTGCTTAAATATTTATCACAAAAAACTTGACACATGCTCTCTTTTCGTGAAACAGGCGTTGAATAAATTCAAAGTATCTGAAGTGTACAAAAGCTATCCATTTTGTCACATCATTTTATTGTTCATTCTCCTTTGAAAAAATCTCTGGAATTCTCTTTAAAATCCTCCCCCTTTTTGCAGTTTCAATAAGACTTGGTATACAAGTATACTTTTCTCAGGTACACTGAGTACACACCAGTAGAGCTTCAGTCTCATCAGAAAACACAAGTTCCTATAATAATGAAGTCGTTTTCTTGTAGATTACCTGAAGTTTTGGATAACCTCAATCAAGACATTTGGAGGCAAAAAGGCACCTTTGCTTCTTGTTGTTACACATACAGAAAGAAAATCTATAGATGTAAGTATTTAGGCTATCAAAATTTTATTTCATGTGATCTGAAAGCACTTGTGAAACCATTTTTATTTTCATTATCAATTTTTATATCTCCATATTTTTTTTGTTGTTGCAAATTTCAAGACTAGGCAGGGATGTTTTAAAAGAGAGTTTTTATGTATTCGCATCCATAGATTGGGGCCGCGTATTATTTTTGTCCTGTATGTCTGTTTTTGACTGTTGTCAACTTCAGCCTTTTCCATTATTTATGGTCCCGTGGTGATCCGGGTTAGAATAGGTCCTCAGTATCCCCTTGCTTGTCGTAAAAGGCAACTAAATGGGGCGGTCCTTCGGATGAGACTGTATAAACCGAGGCCCCGTGTCACAGCAGGTGCGGATCGATAAAGATCCCTCCCTGCTCAATGGCCCTGAGTGCCGAGCATAGGCCCAAATTTGCAGCCCTTCACCGGCAATGGTGACGTCTCCATATCAGTGAAATATATTCTGGAGAGGGACGTTAAACAACATACAATCAATCAATCAATCAATCATTATTTATGAACCGCGAGAGGTAGATACTTCATATTTCTAATTTGATATGAATATTCAACTAATTACGCTCTTTCAAATGACCTTGACTTTGACCTTATGCTGAATATGTCTTTTTGAACCTGTGCTATAACTTTTGAACGTTATGAGATAGAGAAATCATATTTGGTAAGCATACTCCACCATTATGTAATATCGTGAGTTCTTCGCAGTAACCTAACTTACTACCCCTCTTTTGCGGGAGAGTTAATTAAGAAATAAACAACGTTATTTAGTGAACATGGCGTTATGAATAGCAACTGCTCTGCTGGCATATTCTATGATGCGCGTTAGCGCATCCTGGATAATATGCCAGCAGAGCTATTGCTATTCATAACGCCATGTTCACTAAATAATCGTTGTTTATTACTTATATTTGCATTCTTTGATGTTGTCAAGAATATCAGAGGAAATCCTGACTTACATAAGGACGCAGTTTCTTCTGTCTTCAATAAAGAAAACCATTCGGCTATAAAATCAGTACACCTGATCAATACTCCTTTTCTCTAATAAATCACTATTTTTAAAGTATTTCCCTCTTAAACACGGTTATCTGGATACAAGCAGCGCCGTCATCACATTCTCTTAATTTTTGTTTTGATGCAGTGGTCATCGATCAACGTTTTTGAAATCCTCTGACAAAAATCAATAATTTAAAACTATGATAAAAATGAGAATGCTTTTATAATGATTATTACTCCAGTATGCTTTTCTGTGATTTTCTTTTTTTTTTTTGGTACTTTTTCTATAATTATTTTTTCTTCAAATACATATAGATTTACTAGTTAAAGAAATTTTCTCTTTCTGAATGTTATTACCCAAGTGTGAAGAGTTATCTTTCTTTGTACAAGTATGCATGATACAGAAAAATAAACATTTGGAGTTAAACTCCTCTCAAAAATTAATGAAGGTGGTTCAGCAATTGTTTAGCAAGGTATTGTTAAACAAGGTATTTTTAACTGATCTGTAATTAAAAATTCTACAATGATCGTTCCACATTTGTCCCCATCCAACAGGTGTTTCCTACCTCCATCAACAAAATTTCCAGTAAGTTATTGTGGTATCAAATATTTAAGGTTCTATCAATTGACTTCAATGTCGGTGACCTGGTGACCTTGACTTTGATCAATTTATAAAAAAAAAATAGCTTTTTTTCAAACCTTTACCATAACTTTAACCATTGGTGATGTAAACTTCATATTTGGTATGCTTACTCCACGAATTAAGTGCTACCAAATGATTTCAAGGTCAATGACCTTGTGACTTTGACTTTTACCTATATGCTAAAAAACTTTTTCCAACTTTGTTTCTGCTAGGCACACACAGAATTCATGGCATGGTTGTCTATCAACTTGTCTGTAAACAATGAATTTAGGAATGTACTCTAACATATATCCATTTAATCTAAATCTGACTCTATTTGATCCAATCAGTGACCATTTTAGAGTTTTTAGAAATTTTTGATTTATTTGTAGCTACAAAGCCTTTTGAAACTTGCATGGGTAATCCATTTTGGGATGTTCACTACCAAATTTGCTTTAGATGATGGTTTTATGTAGAATTTCTTGAAAAGAGAATAGCTTAAAAATAATTGAGCAATTTATTCCAATGAAAAACATAAAGGATGTAAGAATTAGTGGTTATATAAAATGAAAAAAAAAATAAATTTATATGATTTAAAGTTGTCATGTAAGAAAAACTTGAGAGTAAATTTCGGTTTCAGAGTAGAGAAGATTGAAAATAGTTATATCAAAGTTTTTTTTTTTTTTTTTTTTTGGGGGGGGGGGGGTTGGTATATAAAAGAAATATTTTCTTAGCTTAATTTGTTCATTTGTAAATTCAACACTTCATTTATTTGAAAATCTGATATAAAGGGAATTCAAAGCTACAGTAAACACTCATTTCATGTACAAGGGGTTATCAAAAAGTTCGTGGACGGGCGCTATAAAATTAAAACCGCTTTATCGCTATAGCTATATCAATGAATTTTTAAATATATGGTTAGCATAATCTTTTCTATCTATGAAATGAACCGCAGATCATAAATTTAATTTATAAATAAATCAGTAATGTTTTCGTAAGCTATGGTATGTCCAGGCGGCAAAACCTCGAATATGGCTTTTTTTCGACCGAAGCATAACTAAGAAAAACTTTTTTGATATGAACAATCTTATTAATACAGGTATATGTTGGGACACTATTGCTTCATAAAATATCAAGTTTTCAATTCATTCTGAAAGTTCTATTATAATTTATTGTAAATTTGATATGAAGTGTCTAAACAAATAAGTCTTTGAAAATGACGTCAAAAGGGGGAGGGGTTTCATTTTCCAACATTCTTTAAAGTTTTGACCCTGAAAAAAGTGGTATATACCTAGGAAATGTTTAAACTAGCTATGGAGAAATTAAATGCGTCCAGAGTACTTGTTTTTAACGCAAAAGAGGTTCAGAGGGAAAAGGGATGCACAGTTAATGTCGATTCTTAGTCAAGGTGTGAAAAATCATTGAAAGTCAAAAAAGACGTTGCTCATATGTTGTAGATATTAAACTCCCAAAAGCAAAATATGCTGGCACAATCGAGCGAGGATCTCTCCCAATATATCAATCCATCTGCAATATTACATCATTTAAAGCCGCTGTTCGTGACACTGGAAAGTCATAAAAACAAGACGGGTTTAAGTCCTTAATCAACTCCAGGGAATTTCATCAAATTAAGTGTATAAGGTAGATGAAGCGGACATTGAAAATCAATGACTTTGTGGGACGTCATGAAACTAAATGGCGACGGCGCCGGTTAACCATATAATGTCTTTTTTATTTTATCATATTTTAGCAAAAAATGAACGAGTCAAGCTAAATAAAATTTTCAATATTTCTTTATTTTTTGCTGTTTTATGTTCCTTAAAAATTGAAAGCACGGGTTACATGGTACTAATTTTATAGCCTCAGTCCATAAACTTTTTGATAACCCCTCGTATATAAGCCTATAATTGAATTCTGTTGTATTGATTTAAAAGAAAATATTATATTGAAAAAGAAAAGAAAAGATAACGAAAAGAAAAGAAAAGAAGCAAAAAAAAATTACAATTTACATTCCTTTAAAAATGATTGTAACAGCACCATCATGCACAATTAAGACAACAAACGATTTAATCCGATGCATGCACGTTCTTTCCAGTTACACCAACCGTCACACAATTTCATGAACAATCCTGCACACCTGGTTTGCAAACAGTAACTTTGCAACCTCTGAAACTGTACCTGGTGCATCTAGCCATATATTTTTAGCTCACCTGAGCCGAAGGCTCAAGTGAGCTTTTCTGATCACATTTTGTCCGTCGTCCGTCCGTCCGTCTGTCCGTCTGTAAATTTTTCACATTTTCGACTTCTTCTCAAGAACCACTGGGCCAATTTTGACCAAACTTAGTACAAAGCATCCTTGGGTGAAGGGGAATTTCAATTGTTAAAATGAAAGGACATATCCCCTGGCAAGGGGAGATAATCAAGAAAAGACAAAAATAGGGTCGGGTCATTAAAAAATCTTCTTCTCAAGAACCACTGGGCCAGAAAAGCTGGAACTTATTTGAAAGCATCCTAGGGTAGTGTAGATTCTAAATTGTTCAAATCATGACCCCCGGGGGAAGGGCGGGGCCACAATGGGGAATCAAAGTTTTACATAGAAATATATAGGAAAAATCTTTGAAAATCTTCTTCTCAAGAACTACTGGGCCAGAAAAGCTGAAACTTATGTGGAAGCATCCTAGGGTAGTGTAGATATTAAATTGTTCAAATCATGACCCCCGGGGGAAGGGTGAGGCCACCATGGGGAATCAAAGTTTTACATAGAAATATATAGGAAAAATCTTTGAAAATCTTCTTCTCAAGAACTACTGGGCCAGAAAAGCTGAAACTTATGTGGAAGCATCCTAGGGTAGTGTAGATATTAAATTGTTCAAATCATGACCCCTGGGGGAAGGGCGGGGCCACAATGGGGAATCAAAGTTTTACATAGAAATATATAGAAAACTATTTGAAAATCTTCTTCTCAAGAACTACTGGGCCAGAAAAGCTGGAACTAATGTGAAAGCATCCTAGGGTAGTGTAGATATTAAATTGTACAAATCATGACCCCCGGGGGAAGGGCGGGGCCACAATGGGGAATCAAAGTTTTACATAGAAATATATAGGAAAAATCTTTGAAAATCTTCTTCTCAAGAACCACTGGGCCAGAAAAGCTGAAACTTATGTGGAAGCATCCTAGGGTAGTGAAGATATTAAATTGTTCAAATCATGACCCCTGGGGGAAGGGCGGGGCCACAATAGGGAATCAACGTTTTACATAGAAATATATAGGAAAAATCATTGGAAATCTTCTTCTCAAGAACTACTGGGCCAGAAAAGCTGAAACTTATGTGGAAGCATCCTAGGGTAGTGTAGATATTAAATTGTTCAAATCATGACCCCCGGGGATAAGGCGGGACCACAATGGGGAATCAAAATTTTACGTAGAAATATATAGGAAAAAATCTTTGAAAATCTTCTTCTGAAGATTACTGGGCCAGAAAAGCTGAAACTTATGTGGAAGCATCCTTGGGTAGTGTAGATTTTATATTGTCCAAATCATGACCCCTGGGGGAAGGGCGGGGCCAAAATGGGGAATCAAAGTTTTACATAGAAATATATAGAAAACTATTTGAAAATCTTCTTCTCAAGAACTACTGGGCCAGAAAAGCTGGAACTAATGTGAAAGCATCCTAGGGTAGTGTAGATATTAAATTGTACAAATCATGACCCCCGGGGGAAGGGCGGGGCCACAATGGGGAATCAAAGTTTTACATAGAAATATATAGGAAAAATCTTTGAAAATCTTCTTCTCAAGAACCACTGGGCCAGAAAAGCTGAAACTTATGTGGAAGCATCCTAGGGTAGTGAAGATATTAAATTGTTCAAATCATGACCCCTGGGGGAAGGGCGGGGCCACAATAGGGAATCAAAGTTTTACATAGAAATATATAGGAAAAATCATTGAAAATCTTCTTCTCAAGAACTACTGGGCCAGAAAAGCTGAAACTTATGTGGAAGCATCCTAGGGTAGTGTAGATATTAAATTGTTCAAATCATGACCCCCGGAGAAAGGGCGGGGCCACAATGGGGAATCAAAGTTTTACATAGAAATATATAGGAAAAAATCTTTGAAAATCTTCTTCTCAAGAACTACTGGGCCAGAAAAGCTGAAACTTAGGTGGAAGCATCCTGGTATAGTGTAGATTCTAAATAAAGTCATGACCCCTGGGGGAAGGGCGGGGCCACAATGGGGGGGTCAAAGTTTTACATAGAAATATATTGGAAAAATCTTCTTCTCAAGAACCACCGGGCCAGAGAAGTTGAAACTTATGTGGAAGCATTCTTGGGTAATTTAGATTTTGAATTGTTCAAATCATGACCCCCAGAGGAAGGGTGGAGCCACAATGGGGGGATCAAAGTTTTACAGAAAAATTTATAGGAAAAATCTTTGAAAATCTTCTTCTCAAGAACCACTGGGCCAGAAAATTTGCACATGGAAGGATCCTGGGGTAGTTGATTTCAAAATGTCTTCATTATGATCAGTGGGGTAGGATGGGGATACATAAGGGGGAAATCTTGTAAAGAACAGAATGGTCAAAGCTTCTCAGGTGAGCGATGTGGCCCAAGGGCATCTTGTTTGGTGATATCACCTTTTAACAATAAGTCTGTTTCTGAGTTATTTAAAGTCATACCATACCCTTCAATTTTTGTTATTCGTGAAATAAAAAAATCTATTTAGAGAGTGGTAATATCGTCCCTTATTTTATAAATCCGATTGGTGTTATCACTGTTGAAAAAGGCGAAAAACAGCGGGGCATACCTATTTCGCTGCATGCTATTGACCACTTCATCAAATACTCTGTCGGAACTCCTCTAGAATTTACGATCATACCGCATATGAAATATACGCAAAACAGTTGGACATCTAATCAATGTCATACCAAAGATGTTGGAGATTAATTAATATTGATATTTAGACCATTTTTTATTTTCAAAAGATTGATCCATACTGTAAATTATATACAGACATACATGTGTATATATTTAAGAGCTATTAATCTAGTTCACATATTCATTATTCACATATTCATTTATACATGTAATACAAATATTATTCTGTGGTTTCTATTATTGATAATAAAGAATTCACAAGGAAAGAAATAATAATATATAAGAAATTTGAAAATAAACTTTGAAGAGTTTGAGAATTCTATGTTAAAACTTTCGATTGATAATAAGGAATGATTTGTTTTCCAGCTAGACATTTATAAATATGCCTTGTAATTGGAAAAATCAAACAATATATATTTTGTAGGTATGCCTTTCTGTCTCTTTCAACATTCTGAAGATGTTTATTTAATTAAGTTGAATACATCATTGACATGAATTCAATTTTTGAAAGTTTAAATAATGATCATTGTGCACTTTAAGAGGACTCCCGAGAATTAAAAAAACTTCTACCTGACATCTCCCTGGTCCCTGAGATTACAAATTTGTTTTCCTGTATTTACCTGTCTAAGAAACCTGTAAATAATGTTTCCTTTATTTTAAAAACGTATTCATCTTCAGTCATGGAACACAATCATTTCAATAAAAGGTGAAATATTCCTTTTAAAAAATGAAATTAACAGGTATTAAAACAGAATGTTAAATTTCAAATATCGTCTGTGGCATTTCCGTAATATTTATAAATTCTTATTATTATAATATAAGTTTTTGTCTTCTTGTTACACTTATGCTAAGTATTTGATACTTATATTTAAAACCTTAAGAGTCATATACATGTATAGATTTTGATTGCTAGACGAAACCCATCACTTAAGTAAAATCACGAATCCCCTAATCCACTATTTGGGATATAACATTTTAGAATACCTTTCTTTAAATTGCCTAAATAGGCCTTCTTAAAAATGGCAAAAAATTATCAAACACAAGAGAGGATTTTTTTTTGTAATAAATGCTAATTGCATCAATGATAAATGTTTTCTTCAAGATCCGGGGCCATTATATACATTTATTGACCGAGTTCTCGGGCAACATGCGTTTTGTCGGACCCTCAAACCAAACTGCCTGCCTGAGGCGTTAGGCCAAAGGCAAACAGTTTGGTTCAAGGGTCCGACAAAACGCATGTTGCCCGAGAAGTCAGTCAATAATTTTTTTTAATACCTTTTATTTTATTTTGTATTTTTTGACATACATGTATTTTGTACAATATATATCCCGTAATTTTACATTAGCTTTGTCACTGTTTAACACATAAGAATGAAAATGAGATTAAGCTCCACCCATTCTGTGACGTATGCGGTCCAACATCTCTCCGAGCGCTGCAACATCTCACTCAGCGGTCCAACATCGATTTTTTTATGCCAGCGCAGAAAAACATAAAAAATGTTAGACTTATTTCCGTAAGGATTTGTATAGGAACAAATTTTTAAAGGTATTACAAAATTTGATGATCTCACTTTCGATCCTAGTTTCACTTTTACCTTCGGAATTACTAACTTGTATTAGTGAAAAGTGAGTTTGAGATCAAGAGTGGGCTCATCAAAGTTTTATGGCCCGCGATCCTACATGTATAAGACACATTATTTTCTGTTTTATACATTCATAGTTGTATTTCAAATATTCTTTTGTTAGTATTTCTGTATTTGTATCACTGAGTATCGCCAAATCCCCATAATCCGCCAGTACCCTAAATCCATCCCTTTCTGGAAACTCCGCGCAGTTTGTAAATGAGTGCAAATGTGACGTAATTTATGCATGCAGAAAAAATCTACAATCAATTTCAAAGCTTCTTTAATAGTAATAAGTTCCAAATACGTCATAACAAATAAAATTTACACTAATTTAATTATTGGTATCATATTTTATGTGAAGTCAGTAAGCACTTTCCCTCTATGTGCCATTTGATCGGAACTCCCAACAAGTGCGTCAACATGCTCCTTTTCCCCTGTCAGCAATTTCTTTTTATGAATTTCTATTACAAAGTTCAACATGACACACCATGATGAGTACTAAATTATTTTATTTATTTATTCATTTTGCATACAATTGCCCGCATGTACTATGTGTTGTGTTGTTAGCGCAATATTTTTACATATAAAATACGTTATTTGTGTTTGCCTTCTAAAAATGCAGTTCAGTATTATTTGAAATCTTAAAAACAATTTCCCATGTATAAAATTCAAGAAAATGGTATAAAAAATTAACTACGGGATTTTTTTATTATATGTTTTAGAGGACCCTGATGCCTGAGTTAGGGGACACAATAATACTGGCAGGATACACGTTGTATTTAGTGGTTTATTATACATAAGTCCAGTAACTGTATACTTTTCCGTTTATATCATAAAAAATAATGATCATCTTTATTACAGTGTAATAATTTATATATAAATGCGAGGTGTTTTCCGCTTTTGGTGAGGGATACTTAAGGATAAATAGTTCAGTTTTTATATATCAAGTAAGTTAAAAAATGCATTTGTCGTGTAGCTCACTTTTTTCTTGCCAATGATTTTCAATGGGATTTCTCCTAGTTAAGTTTTTGTATATGCCAGTTACTTGGTGGTGAATTTCACATTTTACTGGAAGACGTCACCTCGATTCAGTACTTTCAGTACTTTAATTTTTTTATCCTTTTCAGGAAATAGAGAAGTATTTGGAGGAGTTTTGGAAAGCAGTACCAGACGAGGACAGAGATTGGTTAAGTGAGTCTCTGAATGATCGGGAATACTCTGTGGGTCTATTGGAACTTAATGAGAAAACAACGGAAACGCTGGAATCAATTAAAAAGTCTGTAGTCCAACTATTTGCCAATGAGGTCAATACAAAAATTGAAATGCCCTCTTCGTGGGCTCTAATGGAACAATTATTATATGAAGGAGGCTGGAAGGTTTTGTCCCTTGATGAAATAAGAAGGCTCAACTCATCCCTTCCTGAAGAATATCAAATTAAAAGTGATGAGGAAATGTCTCAGTTTTTGAAGTGCTTCCATGATAATGGGCTTCTTTTGTATTTTAAAGAAGGGAAATTAAGGGAACATGCAATACTGGACATTCAGTGGTTTGCTAATGCTTTCAGCAAGATAATCGCTGATGAAAACCACATCAATAAAGATTGTAAAAGGAGATTAATCAAAGCATGGAAATCCTTCAACAAAACGGGGGAACTCAAAGACAAAGTGGTAGATGCACTGTGGAAAGATGAACCTTCATACCTGAAACACAAAAGTGAAATTATGTCTTACATGGAGAAGCTTCAAATGCTGGTACCTTTGGACTCTTTGGAGGCTATGTCAGAAGGTGGTATGTCATGGTATGTCCCCTGTATGAACAAAAAGCAATTTCAAGCTTACTTTTGTGAAGATAAATGGGAATGCTCCTCCATTTTGTGCTTCCGATTCACTTCCTTTGCCATGTTTGTGTTCTACAGACTGGTAGCATTTTGCATAAGTTCTCTTGGATGGAGTGTTGCGAAAGACGATGATAATGATGGAGATTTATGTCTTTATCAAACAGCAGCAGTGTTTGATCACAAAGAACACACTGTTGTTGTTGGCATATGTAACGAAGATATACAGTTGCAAGTGCTACGTCTAAGCCGCTTAGCGGTAGACAAAGACGTATCAAATGAAATTGGAGACTCCATTGATATTGCCTTAGGAAAATTGACGGAAACATTTCTTGGGGAAAAAATATTCCATAGAGGATTCAAATGTCAAAACATTATTTGTAATGAGACAGATATTTCCTTCACCCTTTCAAGTGAACTCGCCAAAATCAAGGCTGAAGAAACACAATGCAAATGTCGAATTCTGGAGAAACATGTGATAAATGTACAAAGGACTCTTAGTTTCTGGGAAAAGGTAATCATCTTTCTTTCTTTCATTATACCCCCTCCCATCGGCCTCCCTGAACAAAGAGTTTACTAGAATCAGTACATAGGAATCAAATTGTCTGTTCATTTGTATAGTCACAACAGGTCCATAGCAGATTTTTTACATTCCTATATTCTCAAAAATATTATCTGAATAGCATTCGATTTACCATTACGTTAAAAACATTTTAGATATTATCTGCTTTAGGATAATTAACTTGTTTATGATAAAAATATTTTCTTTTTAGTTCGGGGGGCTTTTTTTTCCTGAGTGTTTAAAATTTTATTTATTGTTGCTTTATAAAGTTCAATTTCATTATATTTCAGAAAGAGGCAAACAATTTCAGCACTGGACACATTCTAGCAGGCCGATCTAGATTTGCAAAGCTGGGAATGGCAACAAACGATGTGTTAAATCAGGCATACCGAGATGTGCTTGAGTGGGAAATACACCCATCCCTAGTTTATAACAAAGTGAAGACGTCATCAATTTATAAAACATTACGCTCAGATCAAGAAGATCTCTTAAAAACAGCGGCAAGCTCTGGATATAAGAATTTTGATATTTCATTAATCTATATATTGATCAGAAACATTGGTTCTAAGATCCCTAGGCCAACAAAAGGAAAATGGGGAGGCAACAGTATGCCTACAGCAGGGGAGATTAGGGTGGGTGATGATGTAGAGCGAATCAGGATAATCCGAAACTCTCTGACTGCACACGTGAGCTCAGCCTCAACCCCGCAGACAGAGTTTGATGACACTTGGTTGATGATGTCAGGTATCTGCCAAAGATTGGAAAACTTCACAGGGAAGAAGTATTTAGATAATCTTAATTCGATTAAAAAACTGACCTTAAAAGAAGAAGATGAAGACGCTATTATAGAAAAGGTTAAAATGGAAAGTCAGTATGAAATGGTGAAGACAGTTATGTCAAATGTGCAAGACGTCGTGTCAGAAGTCCAAGAAATCAAAAATATATTGAAGCCTGAGACGAGAGATGCAGCAAATTGAAATTATTACCTTTGAAGAATTCTCTGTAGAATACTTGAACTGAAACTGTATTAAATTCAAAGTCAAAACAAAGTGATTTTACATATTGGATATACTAGTAATACTTGTAATTTAAATAATGTCGATCTGAATTTTTACAAGGACATGGGGATGTGGGAATCTAAAATTAGTGTTTTTGAGCCACTGTTAAAATTTCATTCAAGATTTTTGTTGAGATGTATAGCAAAACTTGTTTAGTACGAACACGGTTATAGCGAATTTACGGGTATAACGAAGTTATTTTGGATCCCCAACCTTGTAAATTTAACGTATCTCATAGGTACTCTTGACTTCGTTATAACCGAGTTTTACTGTATTAACAAATGTTGTAGGGACAACTGAATCGGACGTTGAATATGCTGAAAATCTAATGGTACTTGAGCAAAATTTTGTTGTACCACGTTAAATATGTTAAATATTATCTTTTTATGTCTGTTTATAATAATTAACTTTGCATGATTTTATTAGATTTTTTTGATTGTTCAGTCTGTTTTAATTTTTTAGGTCACCGGTCACACAAGAAGGCTGTTGCTTCCAGTTTCCGTCGTTTGTCATGCATTATGTTAACATTTCAACATTTTAAGCAATTCAAACTTTCAACATATAGAAATTATATGACTTTTGGATGTTAGTACGGGAATTAATTTTGCAGATGTTGCAGATAAATGCATAAACAACGTAAGCGGGTTAATTTTTCTGTACAATAGCTGCAATATTAATTCCCTACTAACTGGCTAATAACCTTTAAAAGGTATTTCATTGTTAGCTCACCTAAACGAAGTTTGGGGAACCTTATATGTAATACACTTGGTGTT